GGAGGGGGAAATGTCCTCGAAATCTCTTCTCCTCCTCCACCCCATCCCCTTTATACGCCTGCTACGCAGGCTAAAATACCCATGGTGAGACCAAAGGTGCCTGATATAATGCTGAAGTCCCTATTTTCGTACCGCTCTCCAACTAACCTCAAGACTGGAACAGGCTAAATTCTACTAAAGAGCTCTAAAGAGCTCCTGATTGGCTAATTGCAAATTTGAGTGAAGTAATACTTTTAAAGGAGCACTCACCATTTTCCAGTCCCTCTCAACTTTACGGACAATAGAGCTGTACCCAGCCACTCTGGATTGCCAGCCAGATAAATCTAGTTTTCTATCGTAGCCTCTAAGATACTTGTTTATGACACAGTTGAAGCAAATTCGTAATCTGAAAGGCAATTTAAGCACACGGGGTCAGCAAGTCCTTAACCTTTAAACAAACTATAATCGTTTATAATGTGAAAACGTACACAGAATCGGCGTTTAAAAGAATTGTTATTTCACTCACAGTTTTAGGTAAAGTCCTTAAGAATTTCGGGTTTTTTCCCCCTTTTTTGAGCTGTCAGCATCACATAAAGAACAGCAATTTAGAGGCGAGATAATAAAACTTGTTGAAAGGAAGTTCAATGTATATCTGAACATAGAAATATTTTGTCTTTGGCACGTGTTATGTTTTCCTCATTGATATTTCTTAATAAGTCAAGTTTCTTTTGAGGCTCTCAGGGTTGTTACTATCTGACAGTGAGGGTCGCTAACTTCACGATTTGCTATCAACTGTTAAAGTTTCATGTATTCTCAAGGGTGGAGCTACTTTGGAGGGGTCGTGCGGGACTTTAAGGCATCTGCAGTTTCTCTAATCTATGACGACGAAACCTTACATATTCTCACCTCTTCTCTTTAATTTCTTCGTCGGTTGGTTTATAAATATAAGGTTCGTGCTACAATGAAGAAAAGGATAACAAACAACAAATGAGCACAGATTTTCACGATTTTATTTCTCCGTTTTCTCCTTAGTTATAGTCCCATTGTATCAAACACTAGGGCAGTGTTTGATCACATTTCCAGACACCTCGAAGTTCGTCAAAAATACTCCGCTGCGCATCGTATTTTCAACTCTCCTCTCGGTGTTTGGAAATGCACTGAAAGACGGTCTTTCGTGTTTGATATTGAGTGTCGTAAAACGAACACCAAAGTAATCACTCTGACCAATCACAAAGGTCAAAGAAAATCCTGTGAACCACTGAAAACTCGAAGTAATTACTTCATCGTGGCTGACGCGAAACGCGGGAAAACGTGTGCGAGCGAGTCACGATTGTTTTGGTTTTACTTCTGATTGGATGAAAAAGTGGCGCGAGTTTTCTAAGCCAATCCTGTAGCGTAGTTGATGAAAACCAATTACTTTTCGACACTCAAATGAAAACCGCTCCACTGAGCAAAACCAAATCTAGGAACCTTTGTGCATTCGTCCCTCACCTGCCATTCATTTTCTTGTTTCGTTTCGCCTCGCAGAAGTCTCCAGGCTAAAGAACCTGACGTTCTTCCTTGAAGTTCGTCATTACGCACAGACTTAATGGTGAAGAACTCAACCAGTTCCTTGACTTGCCGATCGAGCAATATTTTTCGCCTTTCTTCACTCAAGTTTTTTTGACGCTAAAAAAAAGTAACAAATATCAAAAAAACTATACAAAATGCTAGAAAGAAGAACCCTTTTGGCTAGCTCCTTCCCGAAAATTAACGAAACAAAACATTATGAAAATAACAAGCTTGGACCAAAAATTAAACAAATTCTACAAGCTTGCATGAATATATCGAATCGCGGCATCCATCTTTCAGCCCATCATTTTCGTTATATTTGTTTAATTCAGATATCTTCATTGCAAGCTTGCTACATTCTGTTGTGTTTTCTATCTTCGTTACTTCTGCCACTTTCTGTATTGTTAACTATGCTATTTTTGGTAGCGTCCTAGCTCTGTGACTGACACTACGCTCTTTTTGTTACAAGAATACTGTTTTTCCTGCCAAGGCTAAATATTCTTATTTTTCTGCCGATTTTCTGCTGAAAACAATGTTATGAATATTCTTAGATTAAAGCGTATGACAATTCTGTTTAGTGTTAAAAATAATTTTCGAACCAGACTGAAGGCCTGCACATAACCTCTTGTAGAAATAGTATTAGCATCAAACATACAGCTAGTGTTGTTTTTGTTGAATTATGGCTAGTTCTGCCGTTGCAAGAAAGGAAGAATTTTATAACGTTTAGTTGAAAAACATGTAATTGTAATGTATTTACAAATTTTCAACACACAAAATCATATTCTTTTCAAAATCTCAGCCTCAGGTTTATTCTTAAAATACTCTTAAAATTTTGCAAACTTCAGTCTCGACATTGTTATAAAATAACTTCTTATAGAAAAAAGAGTGTATAACCGAGGACCTCCCATGAGAGACCGTGAAAATGGATGGCCCATAACGAAAGGTTCAACAGAATTCCCGTCTGTAGTTCGGATATCTTACCTCTTCGGTCATTTTGTTAAGTATTTCTAGTAACCACTCTTCAGAGACCAAATTTCGTGCCTGTCTGACTTCTTCATGCTTAGCAGAGTAACGCCACGTCACATCCAACACCTAACCACACAAAACAAACAAGCGAATAGCAAAAAATAAAACTGGAGTGATGAAAAAAAGTCTTATATGCGAAAGACTGAACGCAATCCTCTTGAGACACTGTTTGACACTGTTTTGATCCCAGATACACACACAAAGCGAATTCGGAATCAATCCGTTCCACTTTTATTTCAAAAATCCTACAACAGAGCAAAAATATGTATTTCAATCCAGAACACTTTGATCCCAGATACACACGAAACACGAATTTGGAAATCAACACCTTCTACTTTCATTTCAAAAATCATAAAAATATTATTCATATTGAAAATCTTAAACATATACTACAAATCCAGAATATTTACTCACCCACTACCTTAAATACTTTAATAAATTACAAAATAAGTTCGGACGATTTTAATTTCCGTCCAAAATTTTAAGTGTCGAAAATATCTACAGCACAGTATAAAATTTTTAAGTAGCTCTAAAACTCCTAGTTTCCTTTATGGAGCGAACTCTAGTTGAGATGCTGCTTGAGATACGTAACGGCTTGATAGAATTTGTGTTATTTCTCGTCCGTGTATTCAGTAAAACCTTTCAGGTGCAGTAAAACTATTATTTTCACAGATGTTGTTTCCGGCAGTCTACTTCGTGTTTTGTTGGCGCAGATTTACCTTAGGTACGTTTCAACAAAGTGTCCGAAAATTGAACGTCCGATATAAAACGTCCGAAATTTTTTGCAAGTTATGTATACCACGAGGACTACATGTTAAAAAAAAATCAAAATTTTCTGTGAACGTTTTCCACAGTCTTGCTTATTGTTTAACGAATCAACTGGCCCTCGTGTTTGAAATCAGCACCTGGAACTGATCCACTGACCTGTTCAAAAGAGAAAGCTATGATGTAATTCAGCTTCTTCCCCCAGCCAGCTTCGTAAAGCAGTGGTTTATCACACGTGTTCTCACATGAGTCGCAGTGAAGCCATCTCTGCTGGGATTCAGAGTAGACTTCAGTCCACACATGATCTGTCCAATCCAGCACATGCCGCGCCTCAAATCCAGCAGCTCGGCAGCATAACGTAAAACAGTTGGCCCACTCACCGCACCTTCCACTGCGAGTTTCTGCAAAAAAAAAGATAACAGCACCATATTACGCAACTTGAAGAGTAAGGAAAAAATTGCTCCCTGGGTAAAAAAGTGTAGTGTTATAAGCCTGGTCGTTTCTACGCCATAAAACCATCTCTTCCATGCCGTCTCTGTGGGAAACTCTTGGCTTCAAGCCGTGCTTTCTGCGGTTCTCTTGTCCTGAAATTCTCCTTGTATTTATGACAGAAAGTATAACACATAGCGTTTTTTCATATTTGTAAAGTAAACTTGTAAGTACTTATGCTTGGTCTAAGGTAGGGGTTGATCACGTTCAGTTTCCACCTACAGTAAGAACTACACTATGTATGTAAAGATACTGCATTTGAACTGCTGAGAAAGACGCAAAGACAAAAATAATCATCGTAGTCGCATACATAACTTAGGCAGTTGTGAAAATAAAGCCTGAAAAAAAAATTCACGCGGCTGGAATGGGATTCGAACCCGTGACCTCTCAGCAAAAGCTGAGCTCAGAATAAGACAAATGTTTGCAACAAACAGAGTCTGTAGCTTAGAATTCCTTCAAAGGCTGTTGAATAAAACCTCTTCACATTCATGTCTTACCCAAGAGTTTTGCAGGGTGATTGTATCTTGGAAATCTTGTGATCTTTCCACAGTATTGACATTTATAACTTTCCACATTTCCAGCTCCCCAAATCATCTCCTCAGGTGTCGGCGGGACAACGCCCACTGGGAATGTCAGCGAACCACAGGATGGACAAGTGGGTTTGTCCACCCACTTGAAGAAAGAGCCTTAAATGAGTTCACCAAAAAAAAGTTAAAAAATGATACATTTACCATATCCTCTTTTCCTTTCCACTCTACTTTTGTAGCTAAGTAAGCCATCACTCCCAAATCTATTTTTGAAAATTATGTTTACTGTTTGACTATATTCTTGTTGAAAACAGTTGATGTCAAACAAATCAAATCAAATTTATTCAAGATTTTTGACATTACCTTTAAACCAACTAAGAAGTTCTAAAACAAGACAATCTCTTTCATCCACTCCAGCCTCCCCTCCCTGCTTTGTTTTTTGACTGGCTTCCTTAGCTTTTTTCTCCAGCTCGGCGAGGGGAATGATGTTGCGTGCTCTCCATTGTAAGTCTGGATCTTCGTAAAGGAGGACATGTTGTAACGAACTTCGAAGTCTCAGAAGAAAATCTCTCTCTTTTTCCTTAAACAGAGAGTAAAAAAGGCCATTAAAGATTTCACTACCACCCTGGACAGCAAGGTTTCATTAACGCCCAGGCACTTGGTAAATTGACCAGCCGTGGGGATAATTTGACCAGCTAGTGGAAAGTTTTTCTTCCAAAGAAGGTCAGATCAAATACTTTTGCCCGCCTGTGAAAACCAGTTGTCCTCCTACTGAAAACGTTAATGAAAGTGCTGCTGATGGGACACAAAAAGGAAAAATCCCTGACTCTTTGTTGACTTTTAGAATTTCTCTGGGAAGGTATTGCAGCTTGTAGCACCCTCCCCCTACCTTCTCCTCCACAAGAACCTCAGGGAGATATTCTCCAGGTTTGACTTTTTTACTGTCAATAGAAACATCACACACTGCAGAAATCCTCCTTACCGATGAAGTTGAAGCTGGATTGGGAATAATAGAAGGTTGTGAGCATCCTGCGAATTGGTCCTGAGGTTCATGGTTATTCTGTGAGGCAGTCGGAGTTGGTGTGGGACCTGATGCAGGTGCTGGCCCAGTTCCTGCTGCGGCAGAACTGCGGCGGCTTCGCTCATCATTTATCGTGTCCTGAAGAATCAACATGTTCTCTAAAGATTCTCCTGGAGGGCAAACCAGCTGATCACCTCTCTGTAAAGCATGAAATATTGCATTAAAATATCATTGGATTTTTAAGGTAATAATCACAAACTGAGTTTATTATGTTCATTTTAAGAGTTAAGTTTCCTTAATAGCCTTGCAGGACTAGGTTTGAGGAGTAAAATCTTAAAATGTTAGTAAAATACTAAGTAAAGCTTAAAACAGTTAAGGAACGTTGGATGAGTAAACACTATGTATCAATAAATTATACTTTATCTAGTCTAGCAAAACCACTTAAAGACACATTCTACACTAGAAAGTTTAATACATATAGTATTATTTAGACAGTTGAAAAAAAAAAAGAAGACAACAAATTGCTTTCTCACGGAGTAAGCTTATAATAAATGACTATGAGGCACCAATATAAGGAAATGAAGAATCAGCATTAAAAAAAATATTAGCATATCATGTTACTATTTCAATACTGTATACCTACCTCTTGGAATCCCATCGTAAAGAGACATTCAACAGCTCCATTCACTGGTAAAAGGCGTGACTGGAAGATCTTGTTGCCAACTCTTATTGTTCGGTACTTGGGGTTGTCAGGATTGTTAATGATGTTAGATGCAAACTTGAGGAGAAGCTGCGAAGCATCCATGAACATTTCTGGGGGATTGTCTAATAGCTGTTCAAAACAGTCCCAGCTGCGACCCGTGGCAACTCTCTTGGTATCATAAGTCTAGAGGTAAAACAAGAGAAGAACCAAAGTTAATGGTTGGCTCTCAGTGTTTTGTCAAGTTATTTTGAAAACAATATCTACAGCAGTCATATTTGTTTACCTTGCACTGATCAACATCAACTTTCAGAAAGATTGCTGCTGAATATTTGATGCTATAATCTGCGAATATTGGACCCATCATGCGGCATGGACCACACCTTAAGAAATAAGAAAAGATTGCAATCAGTGTTACTTAAACCCAGAATATATGCACCTCAGGGGTGTCTCCAATCTAGAAGATGTGGCACATCTGGGTTATGTCACAGACAATTAATCCTACACTACATAGGGGTTTCATTAACATTTTCAGCAAGAGAGCAACTTGGTTTCACAGGTGGGCAAAACCTTTTGAACTGAACATTGTTTTTAGAAAAAGTTTCCTTTACATGGTCAAACTCAGCAGGCAAAATCCTGCTCACAGCTGGTCGATTTGCCTGGTGCCCAGCCCAAACCCCTGCAGTAAGTCAAATGAAATGCTATGAAGAGGGATACAACAATTTTATACTGTGTCTTTTTTGATGAATCTAATATATCAGTTAATGGTAGCTCCTCTGTGTGGCCATCTTAATCACCTCTCAAAAGCAACAACAACAAGGACACTTTTACACTATGATGATCTAACCTTTTCTAGAAAGTAGACAAAAACTTATTCTCTGATTTTCTGATACTTGATTCCCAAACAAAGTAACTATACATTATTATGTAACTTATATCATAAATGCAGTGTCCCCAATAATGACAAAATAAAAAAATAAAAAAATAAAAAATGTTTAAAAATTTAAAACAAAACTAAAAAAAATAAACTAATTCCCTTTCAGATAACTCTAAAAGTCCAAAATATAGCAAGAAAACATTATTCATGCTTCTCCCCTATATAACATAACCAAAACTTTGACAACACTTACTAAAACCACACTTTCAAAACAACAAGAATCTTGGTCAATTTTTCTTAAAATTTCCACACAAATACAGTTTAATTTACTTAATAAACCCTCATGTTTAAGTCAAAAAAGTAGTCTTTAATCAAAATCAAATCAGGCAAGTCATTCTAAAACTGCTGAGGGGGTGGGGGGGGGTAATTAATTAAATTATTAAGAACAATTGAAAAGTTGACACCATGTTGTTAATAATCTTAATGTTATGTAATGGTAAAAATATAATGTACACTGAAGACTGGTGTAAAATGGGGAGTAGGTTTAAGACTGCAGACTAGAGATGGGGTGGAGGGGGGGGGGGGG